AGCTCAAGCGGTAACTTATTCGCTCAAGCGATAAGGCTGAATCCTGGGCTTTCCAAAACATAAGTTCGAAGTGTTGATTCATGCATGATGCATCTCAAACCATGAAAACTCTTCTAAAACTTAAGTATAAAGCCAATTCTAAACCCATAGCTAAAAAACTTTATGATTTTGCAAAATTGAAGTTTAAAACTTCATGCATGTATGATCTTGGGTTAAATTCTTTTCTTACAACTTCCAAAACATGGAATTGAGTTTCAAAACATCATAATTTATGAATGCATGTAAGGTTTAAGTCTCAATTCAAGTATAGGTAATAAAATCATGCTAAAAAATAGTAGAATCTTCAAAATCATGCATGCATGTACGAGTTACCTTTCATTCCAACAATCCTAGCTCAATCCTTACATTTAATCACGTAATCTTCTTGAACTCACATAATTGGTGACTTTAACTCATGAATTAAGGGTTAATCACATAACTAAAGTCTTCAATTGGGCTCAATTTAGCAAGAATTTGAGTTCTACTTCACAATTCTTCTATCTCCTTGCCTAATCTTCGAGTCACTAGCTTATCTCTCTCTAAAATGACTCACTCGCTCTCCCAAAATGCTCTCTTCCAGCAGATTTTGAGCTCTCAAAAATGTGTTTAGCCTCTAACCTAACATATATATACATGTGGATTAGATTAGGGTGCTAATTAGGTTTAAGCACTAATTAAGACTTAAGATTATTTAATTAAAACTTAATTTAACTGAATTGAATCAAATTTTAATCAAACTTTTCAGTAAGCTCTAAAAATTATGTCATTCTAATTAAACTTACCAATTTTGGTTTTTGAAGCCATTAAGGCCTTCAATTTCGAATTCAAAATAGAAATCATAACAGATATTCCAACAGCGAACAAATATTCATACAAAATCACATAAACACATAATTAACATTCAGAATTAAACAAATAAAAGCTTATTACGTAATGGGGTTGTCACATAACATTTTCATGACACAAGTATGTGTTCAACAACAATCTCAACAACAACGATATACTTCAAAATTTCCAACGAAACCGTAATTATTATTTTTAAAATTTTTGGGGGTTTCACCAAAATTTTTCAAACACAAATTACAGCTAAAACATACTCCAATGTACCACCAATTATAGAACTAAACCATTATATCATATAAACATGTTGAGTGTTTCCAAAACCAAACCCTAACATGATGGACTACAATGTACATAAGAAAATCTAACAAATAGATGCATAATAACATATAAAAGAGAGAAGTAAAAGGAGAAGAAAATGAAAATTCTAAGTGATAAAACTTGTAGGAAAAAAAAATTCCAAACCAGTAGATTGTTGGCCTCAACGAGTTTTACAACCTTCCTTCTTGGACCAAATGCAAAATCACGCCCAAGATTCCTTTGTTCTTCAATCAAATATTTGATATATAGATAGAGAAATTAGAAAAAGAGTGAATGATGTAAAGAGACAAAAGAGATACAAATAAGAGGGAGAGAGAGCTAGCATGTGAAAGAAAAGGAACAGAAAGAGAAGGAAAGGCTAAGAAGAGGCCACATATTCTGCTTTTCCCATATCGCTGCACATGTAGAACCCATTGGCTATACCTTTGGAAAGATACAAAGCCTAAACCCTTACTAAATTCCTCTCTACTGCACGTGTGGAGCTATTGCTCTAGAACTCTATTGAATCTACTCATTTTGGCACGTGTACTCCCAACCCACTGCATGTACAGAACAACCTAGGTTGATATTCCAGTTCTAAGTTTGAATTCCATGTTTCTGTAAACAAAACTTAAATAGGAAATAGCCAAGATGACAAATAAGGTTCAATACATTCCTTATATCCTCGAGAAGAGAAAACAAACAGACCACTAAGTCTAAATTTCATGCCAACCTATGCATAAAAATGCAAGTAACCCTAACCCAAAGAAATATTCTTTGAAATAAGGTTTGGGAAACCCAAAACATCACATCATCTCACAAATATTTTACAACTCGCTTTGAATGGAGTATGACCCTAATCATCTCTTATAACGTTCTATTCTTTCCTTCAATAACCTCATTCTGTTGTGGTGTTCATGGTGATGAAAACTCGTGCTTGATCCCATCATAATTTTTGGTGGCAATTTCAGAGTTCTCAAATTCTTTGCCATGATCACTTTTTACCCTAGTGATTGAGAACCTTTTTTCATTTTGGATTGTTTGGTTGATGGTCTTCCCTAGTGATTGAGAACCTTTTTTCATTTTGGATTGTTTGGTTGATGGTCTTGAAACACCTAGTTGGATCAGATTTCTCCCTCAAATAGTTAACCAATGTGTACCTAGAGTAGTTATTGACTACCACTAGAATGCATTTTATCCAACCAAGATTCTTTATCCTAGGTGGTCCTACAAGGTCAATGTGTAACAACTCAAGAGTTTGTGTGGTACTAATCTCAGATAAATGCTGATCAATAGCTGCTTGTTCCAACTCTACAGGGACATCACATCGATTACATGTATGACCAATCATTCCACAGTTATGACAGATTTTAAAAATGCATTCCTACCTACACTCTATCCATCGATCATGGCCATCCTAACACTAAAGGAAAAAACCACTCATAATCGGCTGATCCGTAGGTGTCCATACTCTAATTTGGCGGAAACAAAGATTGTGAGGAAAGGCATCATCATAGTCCACCCTTAACACTTCTCCAAGCGCTCGACCAAGTTGGAAGCCAACTTCGATAGTAAAACATTCTAGCGGAAGCCCATTAAGTCGAACCTAAACCGTAGAGTTGGTCACATGTAGACGATCAAGAATTAGATTCAGTCGCCAGTACTCCACAATCAAAAGAGCTCCTTCCACCACAAAAGGACTCTGAGAAGCAACCCAGTGCATATCTTTCTCACTGGCGAACCAAAATATGTAATAATTACCATTCTGACCTACCACCTCCACTGGCCCAATAGTATTCCAATTCTCTCAATAAAGTGCTGCATGAGATAGGATACAAACTGTCTTCAATCATGTAAAAAACCCACCAAACATGTCATGACCTGAACCTGCCCCTAGAAGTTAGGATCATAACCGGCTAGTAATCATGAGATTACTTACGACCTTAGTTAGAAAATCAAACATATTTATCACTAGGGGACCAGAAGCAGAAGCAAAAACACAAAGATTGTCTAGTGAGTTGTGCATATGTGGCAAAATAAAAACCTTTCACACACACACACACACACACATATATAATAACTCACACATCATATGATGATAAATTGTACATGTCCAGACTCATTCAGAAATTGTCATATGATAAGCCAAGGATCATTCAAAACAACCTTAACAAAAACCCAGGGTTATATATAACTTGGTGACACATGACCACAAAAGAAAACAAAAAGGAAAATCAAAAGCCTCATACATGAGACAACCTTGGTTGACTTAAAAAACTTGGTACTCTTGCACACTTTCACTAACTGGACATCCCTTTGCTCACCTACATACATGCGGGAGGTGGCGGACAATGGGAGGGGCAATAAATGAATTAAGATTAGGGTTTTGACATAAAGATTAAATGAAGAAGATGAATTGAAGGGCAATAATGTATTTTCTCATTTCAATTTGAGTTTAACTCTATTTTTTTTCTAGAAAATTCTCAAAATGAGCACATTTACATCGATGTTCATCAATTTAGACCCCCTCCCCCCCCCCCCAAAAAAAATTAACATTTGCCTTCAATTAGGGGGGTGAAATGATTTTTTCCCCTTGTATACAAGCTGGAGAATTTTAAAAAATTGAATTATAAGTGAAATTTTTGGGGTATAACATACATGCGGGACTTGCACCAACTATAACAAAGGACTTGCTCCAAACATAAGACAAACTTGAGTCCATGAAAATAAATAAATAAATTTTAATTACACCAAGACCCCATCAATTATTGGTGAATATTACATTACTTATCTCATCTATGAACTAGAACATATTCATTCCTCATTTATAAAAAACTGTACAAATTTCTCTTTTCTAAAGGTGGTTGAGAGGGGATGAAAGTGATATATTTTATAGTTGAAAGAGTCAAAATGTATGGGTTCATTAATAAATGAAGTAAGTTGATCTTCACTAACAGTTGAGGAGGTCTTGTTGCAATTAACCCAAAATTGTTATTCCTTGTCGAACCCTAAGCGAGCTTGCTAAATACGATGGTCTAATCCATTGCAAAGAGGTGTGTAGGTAACTCGATAGAAGTTTGAATATGACCACCCTTTTGAATGGACTTCATGATTTTCTTAATTTTTGGATCAAGAGTTATTGTCTTTCCAAAATACTTTGTCTTTTGACTTTGACATTCACTTATATTGACGCATATTACAGCTCAGTCAAAGAGGAGCATCTATAGATACCTTCTTTTGATCGGTTATAATACTTAGTCCCATGTTGCATCATCGCCCTATAACAATAGTATATAGCAATAATTCAAAAGAACAAACTTGAGCGAGACTTCGTATGGATTTATCACCAATTCAATAGCTCATTCTATCTCAAAAATTGAGTTAGTTTCTTGCTTCAAACTTGATTTGACCTTTTGAATCTTGATAAGTCAAACACTTTTTTAAACACATATTCAATCTTTAAAAGTGTTTTGAACCTTTTTCTAAATCAAGTTTGAATATCAAAAGGTTCAAATCTTAACTGTTCCAGAAGGAACCACAACTTAAACAATTAAGGTCAATCTTGAAGGGTTGGTCGGCCTTGAGTTAAAACATAGGATCAATCTGGCCTACATTGCGCATTGGTGGACCGATTCAACCCCAAATTGACTGTATTAATGTTTTCATTAATTCCTCATTAAGAGTGATAAACAACGTGTCATGATCCAAACCCGCCCCCCAGAGGCTTGGATCATAACCGGCTAGTAGTCATGGGATTACCTACAACCTCAGACAAAATTCAAAACATATTTACTTATATGGGACCAGAGGCGGAAGCGGAATAATAAATTTTGTCCAATGAGCTGTGCATACATGGCGTAAACAAAAACATCTTACATGTTAATAACTCACATCCATACATATTCAAATAGATAATATGTGTCCAAGACCATTTACAAGTCATCATTTTACATATCCAAAAACTTAAGTATAACTATGGTCAAACATGGCCACAAAAGAAAACAAAAGCCTCTCTTGTGAGGTGCTCGTTGATAGACTTCAAAGATTGGGTAAAGTTGACTGGTTCATTAGGGTTGGACATCCTGCTGCTCACCTACATACATATATAAAATGGAGTGAGCTAACGGCCGGTGAATAATATTAGAGTAAAGAGGTTTTATGAATGAGTTCTAATTTTATGATTTTTCAGTTGTATAAAGGATGCAAATATGGACATAATATGATTTTTCAAAATATGCTGAAAACATAGGTCGCTCGAGCGGACCACATGGTTTACAAAAGTACTAGATGGTCTGAATCTAGGCTCGATGTTCGCTTGAGCCAAGGTGCAAAACAAACTGTGGTCGCTCGAGCAAGTACTTGGTCGCTTGAGCAGTCTACAAAACTTTTGGATGCTCAAAATCTAGGCTCGATGGTCTCTCGAGCCAATATGTAAATGTACTAAGGTCACTTGAGCAAATGCTTGGTCATTCGAGCCATTATGCAATATCTCTGCAAAAATATTGGATGCATGAAATGTTAGCTCAAGCGGTAACTTATTCGCTCAAGCGATAAGGCTGAATCCTGGGCTTTCCAAAACATAAGTTCGAAGTGTTGATTCATGCATGATGCATCTCAAACCATGAAAACTCTTCTAAAACTTAAGTATAAAGCCAATTCTAAACCCATAGCTAAAAAACTTTATGATTTTGCAAAATTGAAGTTTAAAACTTCATGCATGTATGATCTTGGGTTAAATTCTTTTCTTACAACTTCCAAAACATGGAATTGAGTTTCAAAACATCATAATTTATGAATGCATGTAAGGTTTAAGTCTCAATTCAAGTATAGGTAATAAAATCATGCTAAAAAATAGTAGAATCTTCAAAATCATGCATGCATGTACGAGTTACCTTTCATTCCAACAATCCTAGCTCAATCCTTACATTTAATCACGTAATCTTCTTGAACTCACATAATTGGTGACTTTAACTCATGAATTAAGGGTTAATCACATAACTAAAGTCTTCAATTGGGCTCAATTTAGCAAGAATTTGAGTTCTACTTCACAATTCTTCTATCTCCTTGCCTAATCTTCGAGTCACTAGCTTATCTCTCTCTAAAATGACTCACTCGCTCTCCCAAAATGCTCTCTTCCAGCAGATTTTGAGCTCTCAAAAATGTGTTTAGCCTCTAACCTAACATATATATACATGTGGATTAGATTAGGGTGCTAATTAGGTTTAAGCACTAATTAAGACTTAAGATTATTTAATTAAAACTTAATTTAACTGAATTGAATCAAATTTTAATCAAACTTTTCAGTAAGCTCTAAAAATTATGTCATTCTAATTAAACTTACCAATTTTGGTTTTTGAAGCCATTAAGGCCTTCAATTTCGAATTCAAAATAGAAATCATAACAGATATTCCAACAGCGAACAAATATTCATACAAAATCACATAAACACATAATTAACATTCAGAATTAAACAAATAAAAGCTTATTACGTAATGGGGTTGTCACATAACATTTTCATGACACAAGTATGTGTTCAACAACAATCTCAACAACAACGATATACTTCAAAATTTCCAACGAAACCGTAATTATTATTTTTAAAATTTTTGGGGGTTTCACCAAAATTTTTCAAACACAAATTACAGCTAAAACATACTCCAATGTACCACCAATTATAGAACTAAACCATTATATCATATAAACATGTTGAGTGTTTCCAAAACCAAACCCTAACATGATGGACTACAATGTGCATAAGAAAATCTAACAAATAGATGAATAATAACATATAAAAGAGAGAAGTAAATGAAGAAGAAAATGAAAATTCTAAGTGATAAAACTTGTAGGAAAAAAAAAAAATTCCAAACCAGTAGATTGTTGGCCTCAACGAGTTTTACAACCTTCCTTCTTGGACCAAATGCAAAATCACGCCCAAGATTCCTTTGTTCTTCAATCAAATATTTGATATATAGATAGAGAAATTAGAAAAAGAGTGAATGATGTAAAGAGACAAAAGAGATACAAATAAGAGGGAGAGAGAGCTAGCATGTGAAAGAAAAGGAACAGAAAGAGAAGGAAAGGCTAAGAAGAGGCCACATATTCTGCTTTTCCCATATCGCTGCACATGTAGAACCCATTGGCTATACCTTTGGAAAGATACAAAGCCTAAACCCTTACTAAATTCCTCTCTACTGCACGTGTGGAGCTATTGCTCTAGAACTCTATTGAATCTACTCATTTTGGCACGTGTACTCCCAACCCACTGCATGTACAGAACAACCTGGGTTGATATTCCAGTTCTAAGTTTGAATTCCATGTTTCTGTACACAAAACTTAAATAGGAAATAGCCAAGATGACAAATAAGGTTCAATACATTCCTTATATCCTCGAGAAGAGAAAACAAACAGACCACTAAGTCTAAATTTCATGCCAACCTATGCATAAAAATGCAAGTAACCCTAACCCAAAGAAATATTCTTTGAAATAAGGTTTGGGAAACCCAAAACATCACATCATCTCACAAATATTTTACAACTCGCTTTGAATGGAGTATGACCCTAATCATCTCTTATAACGTTCTATTCTTTCCTTCAATAACCTCATTCTGTTGTGGTGTTCATGGTGATGAAAACTCGTGCTTGATCCCATCATAATTTTTGGTGGCAATTTCAGAGTTCTCAAATTCTTTGCCATGATCACTTTTTACCCTAGTGATTGAGAACCTTTTTTCATTTTGGATTGTTTGGTTGATGGTCTTGAAACACCTAGTTGGATCAGATTTCTCCCTCAAATAGTCAACCAATGTGTACCTAGAGTAGTCATTGACTACCACTAGAATGCATTTTATCCCACCAAGATTCTTTATCCTAGGTGGTCCTATAAGGTGAATGTGTAACAACTCAAGAGTTTGTGTGGTAGTAATATGACGAGTGTTTATGTGCTTGGACCGAACTTGCCTCGCAACTTGTGTGATGTACTGGGTTGTTGGCCCAATTTGAGCGTACTTTCTGGACTTATTGACTTACCTTCAGGACCTTATATAGTGTGTGACGTGTTAATGTTTGTGCACTATGTCGTCTCTAGCTTTTCCTATTATTTTACGAGTTGCAAATTTTCAAGTTTTGGGCATAAGGACAAAAAAAAGAAACGTGGAATTCCTCGTGAAGTACTGGGCTTGAGCAGCTGCTGCCGCATGTACAGTTGGTGGGCCCGCATGGGTGGATTTGTGTAAAGGAAGAATGGGTTCTAAGCTTGGGGCTTGCACGTATGACAAGTAAAGTAACATGTGAGTTTTAGACTGCTGTAAACTGCACCCGTAGTGGAGGGGTTCCGCACGTGCGGCGAGAGGCATTTGCATGTGCGGCTTTTCTTATTTTTGCTTGGTTTTAGCTTTTTACTTACGGAATTATGTTGGAGTTATAGAATAAGGAATTATGATAGAAAACTTAGAGACAAAGAAGAAAGTAAAATGATGGAGAGAAGTTGAAGGGAATTTACATATTTCATTATGTTGGCATAAAGACCAATATATAGACTTACATGAGGGGAATACAAACAAAATGTAACTTATTGCATATCTAACTTCATATCTAACATATCTAACTTTGTAAGACTTTACGTCTAAAAGTTGCCAATTTTTTTAACTCTTTAGGCAAGCCTAGTCATAGGCTTTTTGAAAAATCTACCTAAAAGTAAATACAAAGAGACAAAAATAAATACAAAAGGACTACAATTATTTGCTCTTTGCTACAGTTTTTACAATTATATACACTGATACACACTGTCTACCCTCCCCGGTTTTCAAAGAGATAGACTGTTGTAGATAAGCTTTGGCTGAGCTGATTTGTCATGTAACATCGGCTGAAAGGATGTGGCTGATCACTTTCCGCCAAATAATGAAGGTTGCTCCACGTGTCCTGGATACAGTTGGAGTCGATCAGGAGACAACTGCATTTGATAGTGGGATCCACTATGCTTCAATCCTGTTGATGAGATTGTGATATTCTTCATCAGTCTCTGATGGAGGGGAATCCGGATCTTGGCTGTATTGCTCATTCCGGAAATGTTCTACATCATCCGCCGTCATGGCTAGTTCCAACGGAAGATCCAAATTATTTCTCTTTTTGAGATTTATTAACATGTCAAGAGTCTCATTAATTTGTGTATGAGACCTTGATATGTTATGGGAAAATGAGTTACAAATAATATTCTACCATCTGTAACCATGAATGGCAATTTTGCTGAGCCATGGATGCGGGACGCTGCTTGTGAAACAGATATTAGACTGTCTATCCAATATTCTGTCAAAGAAAGTTTTTGGATATTTTCCAATCGCTCTCTCCGGTGATCTTCATCTAAATAATCATATTTAAATTCAAAATCTTCAGTTTCTTTAAGATACCAAATCTGGTATGGTTGGAAAAAATATTCTCGTTCTCGCCAACCAACAGTGCTGGAGATCCAGAAAGTAAAATATTTGCTCCATCGAAAGCCTTTTACTATCCATGAGAGCATTGCTTTGATGATAATTGGATAATCTATCCATTGGATTGGATCTAAAATTTGGAAAATAACTTGATCAGTTATTCCCCAATCTATATCCTCAAAAAATCACATGTCATGGTTTGCCATGATGGTTATTTTGGAAATTCCATCTTTCAAATTTAATTTCTAAGATTTGTCTAATCTTATCATGATGATCTTCAACTCGATTTTTAATTAACATAAAAATTTCTTTTGGAAGCAAAGTTCTTGCTTTTTTAAAAAGATAAATTCTTTTTATTTGTTCAAAAACTAGATTAGAAAACTCATCTGATATGAGGTCTGATAGTTGAAGAACATTGTTTATTTTTTCAAAATTAAAATCTTCATTCCAATTCATTTGTTTAAGAATATTGAAACAAAGATTTTGCAAATCTTTTAATTTGGTTGTTTGCTCAGCTAATTTGTTGGCCAGAACTCCCATGTGTTTTTGAAATTTCACTTTGTTGTCTACAATGTGAGTTTTCCAAACTCCATTGAGTTCCGTATAAATTTCTCTAGATATACTAGGGTTGAAAAAATCTTTTATTTTAGATTCATCTGGTCTAGATGTCTGAATATTAGTTGGAACTGGGTTAGTTCTCATTTGACAAAAATTCTTTTAATAAACAGGCATAGTTGGTGCACTGTAAAAAGCTTTTTTAGCTTTAGTCATGCTATCATATGCTTTATAGCTCACTCCTGAATATCCACAAACTTGCAGATTGGCTTTGTTCCAGTCTGTGTAAATTCCAGGTTGTCTTCTGCAAACACAACATAAACTTTTTCTTCTCTGGGGATTGCTTTTTTAGCAATTGTCACACAATCTCCTTGAGCGAGTTGTTTACCCTTATCCATTCTTTCCTCTTGGTCTAGAGGTCTTCTGCAAAAATTAAATTTACTTGTTGTAGACGTCCCCGAACGCCCCGGGGAGGAACAAGTCCCCCCGTTCTGTTCATATTGGGGTCACTACAGCTCAGGACTCTCAAATTGTCACGGTTCTAAGTCTGAACCAAAGAGTCCAAATCCGACAAATCATTTTGAGAAAACAGATTTTTGAAAGAAGTGCCAAACATGGACTGCCTTGCCAGATATAGAGTCGCCACCTAAATATTTTATTTTGGAAAATTTAGGAACCCCTGACTCGTTGCCTAAGGCCACGTGTCCGTCATCACCAAAGTTACCGCGGCTCGGGAACTTGGGTACGATTGGGGAAGGTCACTTCGTGAGCACCCCCGCTCGCCCGATCAAAGATCGGCCTCTACTAACCATGATATCTATTTTTGAAAACTTTGTGTGTTCTTATTCCGGTTATTAGCCTAGGTTACTATGTGATGCGCACAGCATACAAGTATAGACTGGATCGCCTGAATTGGAACAAAACATTTCATGTTTGCTT